AATAAGGCTTTTCAGTGACAGTTAAAAGCGCCGATGATTTGAGAGAGCCCCCGAAACGTCAACATTGGGCCCGCAGGGTCGGTCTGTCTCCACCTGTAAAAGCTCAACCATTTCTCCCAGTAGCCGCCAACGAGCACGATTCATGGAACAACCAGCCCGTTACACCGGGGCCAAAAAACAAATGGGATTTTTACTTCCAGAACCCCCGAACGCAAAGAATCGCTCTCACTTCGCTTTGTGCACATGTGATGCTGCCGTAGCGGAGGGCGTGCGCTCGTGGAAATGGGCCGAGGTGCTGCTGTTGGTGCACGCGGCGGCCCGTGTGTCGCTGCCCCGGCACGACTGCAAAGCAATTTCCCGATGTCTTCAGATCTGCACGCGGAATGGATGAATTCCGATTACTGATTACTCTACAGGGGCAAATGGAGTTTGTATTGTTTTTCCAAGACGAATGTAAGCTGCGGGCCAAGATGGATCTTATTTCCAGGGCCAGAGGCAGACGACCCCCAACACACACGTACACCTTCTCCACAAAAAAAACACCCTTTCCCACTTTTCACTTTCATTACACACCAATCTGCCCCCCTTCCCCTCCCCTCTCCTCTCCACGCCCGTAACCCACCGCCCCCGGGTTCCTCCAGCCATCCTTCAAGGTGGCAATCTCAATTGCAACCTCCACGATCACATCAATTGAAAGGTTGCAGAGCAATCACTAAAGTTCTGCGAAGCTCACTTTCTGTTTCTTTTATTCTCTGAACGGTGAAATGCGACACATCCTGACACACGCGGCACGTTTAGGTCGAAAGGTGAGTCAAAACGACTTTTCAATGTCACGTGAGTTGAAGGATTTAACTGCACCTCGAATGGTCGAGACATCGAAATGTGACGCACCGTTCATCTTTTTTTCATTTTAGCTTCTCTGAAGCCAAAGAGAAACAAAGCAACACTGAGTCCTTTCCTTGATGATGTGAAAACAGACGAGTAACGTAATCGATCCTGATGGGGGAGATGGAAGAAACCTCCAGCAGCTGATAGACGAAGGCACTAAAAGACTCTCAGTCTGTGACAAGCAAGATCCTCCGAAGAAAGATTGATCCCTTTGACCTCAATTGTAACCAGGCGCCACTCTGACCTGCACAATATCATCCCGACGGTGAAGCATTGGCAAGGACTTAAGAGGGTCGCTGGGGGGGAAAAAAGGAAGCATGAAACAATCCAGACTTTATGACATCAGTCAACAGCCTTCGTGGGGTTAAGGGTCAGGCAGCGACCTCTGGGTGTGAAAAGTGTCTTAAACCCGCCTTCCTTTAATATCCAGCAGGGGGCGACGGCTGCGTTTGCGAAATTTAGTCTTAATTGTATCAAAGTCTATGAGAAAATGATTCTACTTCTCACTTGATTTGGTCTCTTAGTAAACATTGTGTAAAGCAGAGCATGTTTGAGAGTTCCTTAATTTCATCTTTGAACTCTTCTACTTAAAATCTACTACTTTGAGCGACTGGGATTATCTCGTTTAGGTTTCCCTTGTAGATGTGTTCTGCCAGACGTCCGATGAAGTCTGGGACACCGCGTACAGGTGTGACATCACACATGCGCAGTGTGGAGCTGCCATGTTGTTTGGATACAGTCAAATGAGAAAAGAAGACACAAAGTAGCTCAAACTGCTCGTCACATTAAAAAAAACATAACCTTCTTTTTTCCTGCTCGCTAAACTACAACATGTTTGTCTGAAAAGCTCCTTTCAAACTTGAGCCTCCTGAAAGGCCTTTATGAGTATGTCTAATGGGAACATGTAGTTACACGCATGGGTCCTTTTTTTTTTTGACCCCCAAGGCACATTTTTCTGTTACATTTCGGTGAATTAAGAGGCCGACGAGGGACAAAAGACAGAGCGCGAGAATGAGCAGCGGGATAACAAACGTCGTCTCTTCCCCTGCGGCTGAAGACTCCCTGATTGTGTCAGTGTACTGTGGTTTCAGACCCATCACATGCACACGTGGACATGCAACCATTGATGTGGACAGATGTGGACATGCAACCATTATTACGAGCGTTCCCGGGTTCAAGTGTGTTCTTGCTGGAAAGAAATGTCAGCAGCTATAGGATTATTTGGCGTCTGTTATCTTTTTTTTTAATAGGGGGGGCGTTTATGTTTACGCAGCCCCGGAGGCACATGAGGAGATCTGACCTCATCTCCAGCGGATTTAAAGAGAGCGCTGTCAGTGGGAGTTCAGATGGAAACCAACTTCGGCTTCATCTGCAAATCACCAAATGCGCTGCACTCAATCGAAACAGCTGCTCGGTTTCTGTGCACGATTTACAATCAGAGATCCACATCTTCTAATAAACTGCTTGACTGAAGCCACATCTGCGGCGGCAGAAAGCAGCATTTTAGTTAAAGCAGAGAAAGTTATTTAAGATAATATAGCAGCATCGACATTTGGAAAGCGTTTTACATTCTAATGTGACGTCTCAAAGGAAAATGTAAAACCAAGTATTATATGTTTTATATTTAACAAGAGATCAGCCAATTCGATACCCTCTTTTTATCATCGTGTGATTTGTTCTCATTTCTTAAGTCTTAAATTCCAAATGAATTGTGTTGTGAAAGGGAAGCTTACAATACGGCCACTATTCTACATTGTCTAATAATCTTTTCTAAAATGTCTTCTACGTCTGTTGCTTTACTTTTAAATATAATTAGCTTTTTACCTTTTCCTCGACTAATAATTTGAATCCAGGACAGAATTTGACATCTCATCACTTCAAACCCCCGTTTCTAAGGCGTGTGAAAGAGGTCCCTCCCCATCAGAACCCGATCAGACCTCCGCGCCGGCACCGAGGCTCCCCGTGTCGCACCCTTGGAAGGAGACTTCAGTCAAAAAAGAGAGGAACTTTTTCCTCGAGTGTCAAGTCGTCACCACGAAGCTCTGCCTGCTGATCAAGGAGATCAGGATCTCGGAGGAACGAGCCACGCGAGAAGAGAATGTGTTTGAGAGGGGGATTATTTTGTGTTCATTTAGTACCAGCTTTGCAACACTCGGAGGCTTCCCAGTGTTTTGCACATTATCTGCAGACAAGTCAGTTAAATAGAGATTAGCCGGGACGCTGAACTTTCTCTGTCTCCCTTTACGTTATCTTTCTTTTTCTCTTTTTATTTTATTTTTTTTCTCAGTGTTATCCAGCTGTGTGCCATATTACGACGTCTCTTCCCAGATGATTTATGTGGAGATGTCCTTGTGATTCAATAGAAAGACACTTGGAAGAAAAAAAGACGAAGAAAAACCCCTTTTGACTTTTATCTGTCTGGGTTTTTCTTCTTTCAACAGTCATTGCGGTTTATTTCGATGAACTCACTGATTTCAAGCCACGTGAGGCCACATACTTCCTCATAATTACTTTCCACTCTCAAAAAATAAGATCAATAGATCATTGCCAGCGTGCACGAGAGTCCTGCTACCGTAAGTGCACGGCGGGGCGAGTGCTCCATTTAAAAAGCATCGCCTCACCGATTGCAAATCCAATAAGGTGTGTGTAGCGGCGTCGTACCGGCTTTGCATTTCAGGAAGCTCTCTCCACCTTAATGCTTAATGCAGGAGAAAAGGTCCATTAAAGAGGTAGTCTCTGAAACACGACACGTCTGTTTAAAAAACAATGAGCTCTAAGAGAGTTATTTAAAAAGGTCCACGTCGGCAAAACAGATAAACAGTTGAGCCGTGATGCAGTAATATATTTACAAAGCCGACAGGAAAGGACGGGACGTATTTCTTATTGATGCATGAACGTCATGATTTTCATTTCCTAATGTGTCTGGTGATTTGTTTTATTCTGTATTAATCAATTAATGGTTTGGTTTGTTTGTCAGTAAATACTGAAAAAGGTCCAATTCCTGAAGATAATTGGCTTTAATCCGACACGATGCAAATCGCCACATTCAGACGTTTTTACTTGCATAACCAAAATCAATTATCCAAAACGTCGTTTGTGTCAGTCGCTTCAGGCTAAATGGTTTCGTAAGATTAGATTTTGTGGGAAAACAAGTAAATGTTTTCAGCGAACATTTTCTTTAGATGTTGAACATCTTGACAGAAACGTTAATAAGTAACATTACGTTTTAAATAATTACTTGATTTATGTTACACAGGATTGATGATAGAGAGCATCATATAAATCAAAGCTAAGCTTGAGGTCCACTTGTAGTGCAACACATAGAAAGTGTAGTCAGATGATTTGCGACACCTCTGCAGAGGAACCTTTGCTTTCTTCAGACGGTGCACAACGTATCGCAATCTGAGTAGAAGGTGATACCCATCAGGACCATCGCACTCCAAATGACAGCAACATGGAGCACGTTTCTCAAAATTGCATCGCTCCGAGCACCTCACAAAAGATTCGCTAAAAGGCCTTTTACTGTTACTGTGATAGAGGTTTTCAAAGAGGCATTCGAAGCACTTACTGCACATCTCAAAACACACGTCTGTAATGTTTTAGACGAGTAGAATACCAACTGACGCATTTTCTCCCGTAAAATAGGTCTCATAAATATATGTACTTCATAACAGATGTGGATATTAAGAAGGAGATGAACTTGACTCAATTCCTCAAAGAGAAATAACCTGCTTTCACTTGATGAGTTGTGATGTGAGAGCCTGAAGACAGAGCTGCCAATAGATCTCCACAATAGGGTACAAAATGCAAACTGTCAGGAATGTAAAATAATTACTTGGCTTTCCCGTTTGGGCCTCTGTTGCTTTTAAAAAAAAAATCTTTCTAAAAGAGAAATGAGATGCGATGACTAATGCTTGCATTAAAAACATCTCACATCATCTCTCCCACAGAAAGATGTCCTCCTCTTAAGTGCAGTGTCAACAGATTCCTTCCATATACAAAACCACTAGAGATTCAAAACCATCGATTCAAATAGATGTTCAACGGATCCCCGTAGGAGACATTTGATCTCATACGTACATTTAGATCTATAAATCGAGGATGTGACTCACCGCGTTGAATCCCGGGAAGAGGCTCACCGCTGTGGTCGTACCCAACGGAAACGGGAGGAACTGCTTCATGCCCAGCGAGGTCTGGACGGCCGGCAGGGTGGGGCGCATCAAGGTGGGCATGAGGCCATTTTGACATGTGTTGCCTGCGGGAGGGGGGGAAAGCAAAGGCAACATGTTGATCTTTCAGCTTAGATCCAATTGAACCTTCAGTGTGCTTGTTTAGTGTGCATATTAAAGCCTTTACACAGCGTATCAGTGAAGTCTGTTAGTCATCTAAGTAAATATTTAACGCTGCCAAAGCAGACATCCTTTACATTAGTTCCAGCATGAGTCCATTTGATTTAGATTAATGCCAGGAGTGGAAACAACTTTTGCTACAAAATTAGCTGTGACTTATAGCATGGAAATCCCCAAAATAACCAACATATTTCTCTTTTTTTTTAATCACGTAAATTAATCTCACATTTGGGGGATAACATCCAACGTGAGTTTGTGACGAAATAACCTCAATTCAAGGTCCACTTCTAAGCTTTTTGTCGGATTGTAAAAGTTCCTAAGAGCTGGTTGAGACACAAACAGATTAATGTGTGGCCGGCCAAATGCGCCTTCCCCACCTTCTAAACCCTTATTCCAGGGGCCTTTGCTCCGGGGCCAAACCCTAACCCAATTTTCATCTGAGCCGAACACCTGCAAAGCTCGGAGGCTGCTTCTGGCGCGGTTCTGCTGCTAATCACGATGACGAAAAGAAAAGATGTCTGCAGAAACGGTCAAAAACCGCACGGGACCCACACACCAGACCCACAAGTTGAAAACAATAATTACGCACTGAGAACAAGTTGCACATTCGGGGGACCACTGCTACGATGTTTATCCCTCCGAAACAGATGTTTTCTCCCTGAAACGTCCCCTCAAACTGAGGCGGGACGACGACCTCGAGCGCGGCGCGTCATCTGAGACGAGTCAGTGGCAGAGGAGGCCTGGTCCTCACGTCTCCAGGACAAACAAGAGTAAATACTTCACTTTTATTGTCATGTGCGACTACGCCAGCGCAGCGCTATGTAAACCACCGATTGGAAACAGCACACGGTTGATTTCAACACTCTGGGATGAGAATGAATTAAAAAAAAGAAAACGCCACGGCCCTCCAAAACTCTGGGAATTATGAAGACATTTTGCAAAGCGGTAATGAGAACCACAGGGAGGAATTTATTATTTTTTTTTTTTTATTGCTGCACATTAAACAACAGTGGAACTCCGGGCCGCTCAGCGGGGGTCCGAAGCGCTGGCAGATACAGCATTACACCCCCGTCAAGTCCAATCAAAGTTCCGGTCCCCCGGGTCGGGGGTTGTGGGGTAAACATGACCAAAGTTGTGAACTCCTGTAGGGACGAGGGCATATTGCGACATCTGCTCCCCCCGCACCTGTCACAGAGTCCCCCTCTTTTTTGTCCCCCCCCTCACGTGGCGGGGAGGGCTGCCTTTTGTTGAAAGAAGAACACACCCCTGGGACCCGCCTTCAGCAAAGTCGCGCGGTTCACCCTGGGCGGGGCGGCCTGACGTCAGCCGGAGGGCCCCCCCCCCCCCCCCCCAAAAAGTCAAAACAGGCCATTCAAACCCCCCCCAGGGCCCGACGTGCAGGATTAGTCTGCAGGGGGATGGAGATTGACAAGCTGAGCTGGGTTTGTTTGGCGGGGGGGTTTGGTTCGCTGGGTGATGGAGATGGAATGTGACGTGTCACCTCGGCTGAAGTCTGAAGGGTTCTTTATTTTATTTTTTAACACACAGAAGAAGATTTTCTCTCCATCGGCAGCAGAAGTATTCATACAATTTGCTTCAGAATGAATAGCAATAATCTAAAAGTATAACCGTGCATTCAGAATGTTTCTACGTAGACACACTCATTAAAACTATTGTGTTACAGTTTAATGTTGCAGCTGCGCGGAAATCAAAAAGGCCCCTTTTTATCTGCCTGGTTTAAAGTATAAGACTATATGTTTTTAATAAACAGTCTACAGCCACGCTGGGATCAGATACCAGTTGGCTGCTTCTATTTTAAACGAGCAACTACATATAGGCGTCTTTATTTTGGGGTGGCACAAGTTAAAACCATGTGACGGAGTCAGATTTAAGGGCTGAAATAAAAGCGACACCAAGCAGCTCCGGTTACTCCGGTAATTATCTTTCCAAGCACCAAGCTCTTCCTTAAACTTAAAACAGAGAGGCTCCATGTCAAAATACCCGTAATGCAATTATGGAAATATAGAAAGTTAGTGAGAAATACGTGGTATGTCGCATACATGCACCGACAGTACAGACGGGATTCAACATAATGCTCGGATAAGATTCCATGCGTGAAGCCAAGAAAGAATCCAGATTTGTAAATGTACGTACCGGACGCACTGTTAACTGGATTTAACCTCCCGTGACCTCGCATACCTTCAGGGAGCTCCACCCGTTTGAGGCCTAAAAGGACCACTTTCATTTCTTTTGTTGACGTGCAACAATTACACTCAGGCCAACGTGCCCGAGCATAACGACGCATTCCAGCCTGCGGCAGCCGAGAGTTTTGTATTGTAAGGTGGAACCTGGCTGCTGATATGACCTTGAACCTCTGAGTCCCACTCACACACACACACATGCTGCATCACTCCGGCAGACAGAAAAGGCCAGCTCCCGAAGGCTCGGCCACAGACGGAAGTCATAATTACGACTTTGTTTGCAAGAGGTGTCCGTATTTCACTTGATTTGGGTCGAAAAAAAAGAAAATGAGTTGAAGTTTGAGTTCCATATCGTGACTCCCCGGGTGGGCAGTCTCTGCTTCGCACGGAGAGTCTCTCCAGAGCGACTACCTCCTCGCCGAAAGTTCATCTGGTGAGAGTCATTAAAATAACTAGCAGAAGACTGTCAGAGTCAGAATAAAACACTTGGGGGGGGGGGAAGGGGAAAAAAAAGAATTCACTCTGGCCTCATATTCTGTTTTTCTGTAAGGGGCATTCATGAGGCGATCAAGACAAAAGTAATCAGTCAAAGCCAACGAAATAATGATGAGAATGAAAAGATTGAATGATTGAATGAAACTGTGTGTTTACACGGCGAATGAAGTGGGGGCTCCCCGCCGCGACTCGCTGAAAGCAAGTATGCGCTCGTTAAATGGAAGAATTTGAAGTTGTGAAATGTTGGTCGGTGTAGAAATGTGGTCACAGATTTGTATCTGAGGCCTCACACAAAGCTGCAGAGCGCTGGCCACAACGAACCCGAGAGCCACCAACCAATCAGCGGCCCCCGGAAGGAGGAATTCAAATGAGATTTTGCCCACGATTTCTTTTCACTGTCGTCCGCCTTATTTGCAGCTGCCGATGATGAACGCGGGCCGGGTGCGCGTGCAAACGTGACACGCGGATCACATGTGTCACATTTAATGGTTGCGGTTAAGTGCGCGCGTGCTTTTTTGCCGGTTCCTCCCAGAGTGGCGAAACCAAACTCATGAACGCAGATGTATTGCGCTCCGGGGGAGCTCGTGCTCTTAAACACCACACTTAATTAAATTACCACAAACCAGTCGACACCCGCTGAACCCGCGGCTCTTTGGAGGTTCTTCGTTTTTTTTCTTCATTTTCTTTTTTTTTCTGCGCCCGCTTTGCCCACGAGTGTAATGAAACTGAGATGCGATCGGGCTGAAAATCTTTGAAAAGGATCAGAATTGATGAAAAGCCCCCGCCCCCCGCTGGCCTTTGTTCACCCGTTCCCTCCGAGGCCTTGTTTAGTGACGCGGGCCGTCCTCTGCACCGCCCGTCCTCACAGATTCCCTTATCTGCGCTGAAGCGTTCCTGCGGCGGTCGAGAGAGGGAGAGTTAAAATGATGTCTGGAGGACGCCGACCGGCATTAATAATTAATCATCTTGTGCTGCTCTGCCTCCGCCGCCCGTTAGCGTCCTGAACCCGGCTGCTCCTCAGATAAGATCCGTCCAGAGAGGCCGAGAGATGCCTCCAAACGCGAAACCTTCCTGCTTCCCTCGGCAAACAGAAATCCAATTATTATTAGATCAATCTGAATATCGCCGGGAGTCATTTGTATGCGGATGACGCCGCAGACGTGATTAACGCCGCTGTGTTTTTCCTGGAGCGCGCTGATTGGATTCTCTGGCCCCTTAACATGGTCTGAGATCAGTGCTTCCCTTCAATAAAATCATTTCACCCATATTACATCAAACAAAGTGAGCACAAAGGGCGGATTTAAAGCCTTCGCTCTTTTCCTTTTTCTTTTTCTCGTTAAAGCTTCACTTTCACAGATTTTCCACTTAACCTTCACAAGGTAAACTCACCGCATTCTCGTGACATTCCATCGCGTGCGTTTGACCCCGAGGTACGCAACACCCCCCCTCCCGCCTGTTAGCACGCTGTAGCGCTCTCTGCCTAATAAACACAGCTGTGTAATTCTGCAGGTTAACCAGAAAGACGCTTAGCGCGCCGCTAAACGGCGTCGCGCCGGATAGATTTCCATACGAGGCCCCGACGACTCTGAAAGCTCGCATGATTGCAGCGCGCACTCAAGATCCATTAGCCTGCCGAGTTGTGGTGCGCTTTGCCTTTTGCTGCACGAGGACGCCTTTTAATGCAACTTACGCTCTGTTTATTCTCCTTTCCTTCTCCATGTCGGTGCCTTGTTGGTAAAGAGGTCAAGGGGTCCCATGATGAATCAGCAGAGCTGTATTATCAACCCTCTTAAGTGACACCATCCCCTTTTTCTCAGAGCCGCGTGGTCGACGCACACGCTGACCTTTACTCCCGCTGACCTTTACTCCCGTTGTTGTGTTGTTTCACACCGAGTGAGAGAAGACGTTTCACCGTATTTTGTCTGAGAAAAACGAAGCACGGAAAACCCACAAAACCGCAGCGACCCGCCCGAGCCGCTCTTTCCTTGAGGCTGTCTCCAGCTTCTCCATCTCTTTTTTTTTTTGGGGGGGGGGGGGGGCAAAAAAGGGGCCACATTCCAAAACCCATCTCACCGGCTAAACAGACCTGCATCACCCGCCTGGTCTCCAGAAATCCGCACACCTGACCTGGTGGATCTCGAAAAGCTGACAGCTGATTCCTTCCCCCCCGTGGACGGGGTAATGAGACCGTACAAGCCTCGCTCTGTGACTCCGGGTCACTTTAATCCCCCGGAATGAGAAAAAAAAGAGTCTTTCATAACTAATCACCCCTTTCAGAACTCCGGATCCCCCCCCCCCCCCTCCCTGTGTGACCGTAAGCCGGCCGTGAGAAGAGCCCTTGAAGAGGAGCATTAAGTCTCCCTAAGCCTCCTCCATCAAATCTAATGGAAGGGGCCTTCCTCCGAGAATATCAAGTGTGCTCTCGACCCGCGCGTCCCCGATCTCATTTGGACGGTCAGCCGCTCGAACGGCCGCACGTGGAAACCAAAGCCTGGGTTCCATCCGCCTGGGATTGGGTGTAATAAACCAGAAGGTGAGGAAGAGGAAGAGGAAGAGGGCTACCTGGTGAGCGGCTCCTCTCAACAGTTCGGTGCGCAACTTCACACTTCCTTTCTCATCGCTTCTTCTTGTTGTTGTGTGCAGGCGCCTCATTTTTCCCTCGTCTTTAGTTTGCAGGACAAGAAACAGGCAACCCGAGCGTAGGGGACGGGAACACACACACACACACACACACACACACACACAAAACAACCCAGGTGTGTAACTTCACACTCTTTTTCTCCTAATGAAAACCACCGCTTCTTCTCTGCTTGCTTTCAGTATCCAGAACAAGCGAGAACACACACATTTAGATATGGGATTCTGCACAGACACACACACACACACACACACACACACACACACACACACACAGACACACACCTACAAATAAAACGAGAGGATGAAATTACAACAAACATGCAAGCACACTCACCAAAAAACATGCTGCTCTCCATGTCTCCTCACGCTGTATGTCCTCTCTGCTGCCCTGCCGGTGTGTGTGTGTCCATGGACGGCAGCCCGTGCACGTCCCACACACTCCTCAGGGGTGTGTGCGTCTGTGCATGTGCGTTCAAATCCGACTGCAGCCTCAACGGCCAGCCTGCATGCTGCTCTCTGCACGCCGCCGCTGACTGTGGACCCCCGTATCTGCCTCCCTCTCTCTCCCTCCCTCTCCCCCTCCCTTTTTTTTTTTTTTTCGCTTGTAGCACTGGTCCTCCCTCGCCCGTTTTTTCCCCTCCCCTCCTCTTTAGCTCCCCCTTTTCCGCGGTCTGTCTGCTCCTCCTCCCCTCCCCCCCCCACCCACGGGTCCCCCCCCCCCCCCTTCTTTCTGTCTTTACTCTTCTTCCGATGTGTCTATCTACTCTTATTTTATTTATTTTATTACAGCAACAGCCTCCTCTTCACCAACGTGTGTGTGTGTCTCTCTGGGTGTCTCGTGTTTGTTTTATGTGTCAACTCTGCTTCTCTGACTCTCAGTCGCTCGCATTTCCACCCGCTGCATCTCATTTATTTGATCCTATTCCCCTTTCCCATGCTTGCATCTCCGGCTCGCTCGTTTTTCTTTATTCTGACTGTTCCCTCTCTCTCCCTTCCTGTCTCCCCCCCCCCTCTCTCTAGGAGCAATGGCCCCACGCTGCAGACGAAGAACGGTAGGAACTACAGCCGGTGCACTGAAGCAATGAGCGGCTGAAGCCAAGTTCCAAACTCTGCTACGTCACATTTAAACACCAACGTGCCGGACTAGATGTTTTCCTACATGTGTCCTATTTGTGAGACAGACCCCTCCCTCAGGTTTCCAGATATTTAGATATTAACCTGCGGGATTCGTCTGGCGAGCATCTGGCTCTTGGTCTTTGCATGTGAATTCTTCTTCTGGAGAGGAAGGTATTTTGCTTCTGGATCATCAAGTGAGTGGATGGGAGTCCGGGTGGGGAGGAGGTCGGGTTGGTGGACTTTACCCGTTGATCTGATCGTTGGATCTCCAAAAACATTTTCACGCGTGGAAAATCAGGGCGAATGTCGTGAATCGTGAAGCGAGCGTAAAGAGCCAGATGTTTCCAGAGGGGAGCAGCTGGAGACCGAAACAGAGCTGGAGGGAGACTTGGTCCGGGCCGCCTGACACAACTTCAGACGAATGTTGTTCTGCTCAAGTGACCAACAAATGAAAGAGAAAGGGAGTGTGACTCAACCGGACGGACAGAAGTATCTTCCATCGACATCAATGCAAAGCTTGTTAGATGAGACGTGCTGCACGAAGCCGCCGCCGGTGGAAGAATTGTTTTAATCACTAGCTGTAAAATCTCTTAATGAACCCACTGCTGCCTCGAAGCACGCGTCCAAACTCGACACTCTACTCTGGTGCCAGCTTTCATTTGACATGATTTATATTGACAATACAGGTTGTTTTTTTTTTGCAGTTTGCATTCTCTCCCATTCTCAACTTTATGTTTTCCAGGATGTTTAATTCATTATTTTTATTTTATTTTACAGATTTTCTTTCTAAAACCTGATTTATTCATATTTTTGGAGTCTGCGTGACTTTAAATTCTGCTCCGACTTTGATTCAATTCATTCGAAACGCTTTCGCATCGGCAAATCTTTGCCTTCATGCTCTGCTTTCCCACTACAAAGTCTTTTCTCCAGAAGATATCTAACGAGGCGATTAGGGAAACCTAAATCGCAGCACCCCAATTATGGACACCGGCTTTTCTTGTTAACATGACATTTAGGTAATCTGATTACTGCAGAAATCTGACAGTAACACAGTCACTTAAGTGCACTGATTGATTCTGTTTTTTTTTTATCTGCCACTACAATTCTTTTACACGTCCCTTCCATCCTTTGTTGCTGACACTCACGCTTTTGTTTTCTCTCTGACATTCGCACATTCCCTGACAGTCTTTTCGTTGCATTTCGCTTCCTTCTGTCTTGTTTTGCACTAACTCTCTCTCTCTCTCTCTCTCTCTCTTATTCTCCCCCCTCTCTCACGCTGGGTGTAATCAGACTCAACAGGAGCTGATATCAGGCTGCTGCTGCTCTGCTCCTGCAGCCATTAGACTGCTGCTCCCCTGTACATGTTGGCTCTTAACACACACACACACACACACACACACACACAGACTTACAGAAAGAGATAGACACCACTCACGCTTACTAAATTATACAATCAAATGACACACACAAAAAAACATTGATAATATCCAAATAACAAAACCATATGAACGTGTTGGTAGGATGCAGACATTACGGCCAAATGCACACAATTACATTACGACCGGCAACACGAAGGGAAATATAAATGACAATGAAACTGCAATGTTGTGGAAGATTACACATCATTTATAAAGAGATGGTGAACCAATTGATTTTCCATGTGCCATCTCTGAAAAAAGGCGCACTCTGTGGAGCCGCGAATGTCCTTTTCAGAAGTATTTTCTCTTATTTCTCGTCGGTAGCACATTGAGGAGTCTTTTAGAAGAAGAATGCCTTCTCAAATGACGAGCCGGGTTTATTTTTGTTCTGGTGGGGGTTTGCCTGGTATTTTATTTTAGGGCTTTTGTACTCAAATGTAATCCGCAATGCAAAACGATAATTACATAACAGCCACAAACCCAGATCCGACACGTCGCCGATGCCTCCCACCTGCTGCGATGTTTGCTCTATGTAATTGCAAAAAATCGATTTGTCCGCTTCGTCCGCGCAAACTGCACGAGGGCGTTTGGTCGGCGGACCTTCGTATTTTTCATTTTCATTTGACTTTTGTTTTTGTCCACGACTTCCTCGCCGGGATCCAGATCGTCGCGTGCAGGGTCGAGCCTGTCCTCCTGGTTGTTGTCCTTGCTCTCTCAATGCTCGTGCACAAACATTTGCGATATCTGGAGCGCCGTCCAAAGCCGTGAAATGACCCGACCCCCCCCGCCCGTCCCTGCGCCACATCTTTTCTTTTGAGCGGGCAAATTAGAGCGGCTTTCTTTTTTTGGAGGAAGCGTTTCAGACAACGTGTGAACACAGTTAAACTCAGTAGCAAAGAAAGAAGGAAAAAGTGTTATTTCAAGGTGACATTCACATGAATGTCATCTTGTCACACCTCCTGTGACTGAGTGGAAAGGTGTTGATGGCGGGAAAAAAGGAGCAGCAGAAGCAGGACGTGTAGATTTTAAAATCTGCCTTTCTTTGTTGGATCTTAATATATTTGATCTGACAATCTTCAATCTACAAAAAAGAATCCTGGTGTGAAAACATGCTGACGGAGGCAATTAATGTTTAATGTTTGCTCACGTTTCAACACGTGTACGAAAATTCAATGTCCAGAAGTAGCACATCTGTGCACAGATGTCTTGTGTTTGTACAGCATTTGATAGCAGAAGCATTGTCTATGTGTGTGTATCTGTTTGTGTGTGTGTGTGTTTCGGATGCTGTTCCTGCACTTGTTTTAACCTCCACCTTGGTTTTTGGCACACACACACAGACACAGACACACACACACAGACAGACATACACTCTGTCTGATTGGCCCACTGAAGGTCAGACAGAATTGACCGCATCAGAGCTCCGGCCGCCAGTATCGACTGCCAATGAGACGCTTGATCGAAGCAGCGATGTCTGCCTGTGCACTAGCACGCACAAACACACACACACGCACACACGCCTGGGAGCCAGTGTGTGACATCATCAGCTGCAGCTACACAGTGAAATATAATAAATGTGCTCAGGAGCCAGTTGTGATTCCTCTCTGCTATCGCGGGCTTCAGGCTGCTGGGCTGCAGCCATTTTGCAAAGCACAGATGTTTTCAATTAATCCTGAATGCCCATTCTCCCTGTCAGCCCCCCCCCCCTCCCTCCCTCCACCCCCACTGCACCCTGCTCCAGTAAATACATTTATCCTATATCCTATATATGGCGCGTCTCCCTTTTCCTCTTCTCTCTCCCCATCCGCTCCCCCCTGTCTCCCATCTCCCGCCGCTTCATCCCCCCCGTCCCTCACATCCTTCCGTCCTCCGGTGGCGAGTGTGTTTTTTGACCTTGACTCGCAGGTGTCAGTGGCAGAATGGGGCATTATTTGTCACCATAAATAGCGGTTAAGGGGCCCCCGCAGGAAGAAAAGCCCCAGCGCCCGGCGTGCGAGTGCGGCCCGGGACACTTCATTAATCTCGCTGTCACTTGCGTGACACTTTTCATTAGTTATAGAGGTATCTGATCAACAGGCAGACTCCAGCAAGCAGCCGGGGGAGAGCAGAGAGGGAGGAGAGGAGCCGAAGGTTTGGAGAGAGAATGAAAGGAGGACTTCTGCCCAGTGGGAGGTGGACCCGCGCGGAGCTGAGCCTCTGAGAGAAGCATCATGTGCTGCACTAGTTTGTTGTATTTTGTTTTGGGTGGAACATTTGATTGAAATCTCTCTTTGGAATCGGCCCCCAATCTGTGTTTGACAAACAATCCATCATTGGGTTGAAATATTAAAATCTGCTATGTAAAGTCTGCAGACTTGAAATGAGATTTTTGTTTTAGATTTCAGATAACAAAGCTTTTTTTTTTTCTTTGCGATCTGTGATTACCTTTTCCATGTGGTAGTGCAGGACCGCATTAAAGCGGGCTTCAACAAATTCACAGGAAACAATTTATACAAGTGCTTGTACATGTACATGTTGTTACTACGGTTACCAAATCAGGAATCTAAATCAACTAAAAATGCTTTCAAATAATACGTATTTTCCCGTACTACCAATAATCACCTGCCGTGTTTAGTTGATTTTGATCCTCAGAATGAAGAACTGCGCTGAGAACAAAATGTGTTTGCTTCCGAGTTCACTTCTTATTCTCATGCAGTAGTTTTATAAAATGAATATTTATGAGGGCTTGCCCACGCTGACCAGACAGGGCGCAATGCAAGATGTTGTAACACTGTGCAACACCAATTACTGCCACACCTCTCCGGAGTAACGAGAACAGCACCAGCACATCAGAGGAGAACGCTCCGGCAGGCGCGACCTCGACCACCAGCTTTTCATCCACAGGCCGAGCTTTGCGCCCGATTGACCGTGATGGAGGGTTTTATAAACTGCACAGCGACATTAAAACGCCGCCATGCCGGTTGCGGCTTGTGTGCGACCCGCCTACACGTGTGCCCGGCGGGCGCTGCGGCTTGCCTCCCTCCC